TATATATGTATATGTATGTGTGTATATATATATATATATTTATATATAATTTGTGGCACGTTAAGGCCATACCCAGCCATCTTTTTTTTTTCTATTGTACAGTATTGCAGCACTGGGAGTGGCTCATATATCATGGTTTTGATATTCCTTTTAACAGTCTTTTGGGTTTATGACAGCAGTGTAATTTTATATTGTGTTACAATGCAGGATATTTAGGAGTGAAGGCACAATTATATTGTAAATAGTATATACACAAAACACCTACTACGAAATGAAGAAACTGTACGCCAACTCATAATTTCTAACTCAAAAAATACCTTCTATAGCACAATCATATTGACTGTTTAGGCAGCAACACCTTAATACCATTTCTTTCTTTTGTTTGTCTAGCTGCAGAAGGTTTGGTTATATATTATGGAGTTATATATTTAAGGCACTGATTTAGTGTAGCTTTCTGTATTACAGCAATGGCAGCCTCTATATTTTTCCTGACCTGTTTCCTTTGACTACAGCGTACCCACTAAAAGCTGAATACTTGTTGACTTTTTGCCATAACTATACCCCACTTTTCTTCGCTATTAAAATGGTAGTAAACATAAAGTTTCTTCATATAGAATGGGTCATTAATATGTGCTGGTGCATGTAAAATGTTTGGAGCTTATTAGAACTGAAGATATGGGAGATAAAGGAACGATTGTGAGTAGGAATATTTTGGGCAGGACATGTACTGGGCATCCTAATCAGCCTGTACAGGAATGCTAGCATTTTCTTGTTATAAACCTCCCTTATCTTGAGATGGCTGCTAAAGGATGTTAACTCCAACATTGTGTGGAATGTAATACTGGAAAGCAAGGCAGTGAAATCTTGACAGGTGGGAGAGCCCTCATGGTTTAGTAATGTATGGTTTGACTTAAAGTTTTATTTCCACTTTTGCAGCCATATTGGGATAACATCTACTTTTTATATTTGTTTTATGTTTCCATTCCCACAGCATAACTTAAAAATGTAAGCAGCATTTTTCCTTCAAAATCCTACCTAGCCACCTCTTATGTAATGTTAAAGGAGAACTATGAGGTGAGTGAAAATCACTCACCCTCATAGTTCGATTTGACGTGTGACAATGAAACTGTCACACTTCGGCTCAATAGATCGGGAAGTGAGCGAACACATACCGTCGCTCGCTCACTTCTCGATCAATTCCCTGCAGAGAGCAGTGACTGTCAGTCAGTGACTGTCAGCGCTGACTGGAGGAACAGACGGGGGAGGGTACAGCTGGCTCTGCCTCTAGATAGGCAGAGCCCGCTGTCACTCCCGCAGCTGAGCGGATCTCGACAGCATTGTCGTGATCTGTCCTGGCTGCGGCGGTCTCAGTATACCGCGAGCTGTAGCTCGCGATATACTGAGCTTTGGGTCACGGGAGGACGCTAGTATACGTCCTCCCGTGACCCTCAAGAGAACTATGGGGAAAAACACTTACCCCATAGTTCTCCTTTTAAGGAGGTGGTTGTGCGAAGTTATTTTATCTAGTTAGTTTATCTAATTAACCCTGTCTGTACTGTGCTGACAGAATTCATTATCAGTTGTAGACTAGATTTGAACACTGTTTCTCCTAACAAAGGGTTAAAGCCTTAGAGGAAATGTGTATTACTTAGAGGAAGCTTAGTCTGACACTACAGTTTCACTCTCACACTGCTCAGAGTAGCCTGAAATCTGCACAAAGGCCTTCACCAAAAAAACAGCTAAAAGGTAAGAAATATATTTTTACAAATTATTTTTCGGTATGCTGTGTGAATAGTAACTTATAACGAGCATAGTGGAGTTTTCTCAAAATTGACTGCAAAAGTAGAAGTATGCTTTAGACTTGGCCTTTCACTGTGCAAATTTCGCTCAGTAGGTGGCCCTGTCTGCACCCTTCCATCTGGCATCCTTCAATCAGAAAATTGAAGGAGCCGGTCAGAAAATTTTTGTTTGGACGGTGACAGCAACCAATACAATAGACCAGCAGGAGATTCGTATTTGTCGGAACCGTAATGTCAACAAGAAGAAAATGATAACAGATTCCTCCATCCATGCTGTTTAGCATTGAATGAGACAATATAACAGTTTATGGTCAGATTCACATCTCTCAGGGTTGCAAGTGACCATAAAAGAATTCAGTGCCAAGTTCAGCACTTGTGGAAAATATGTCTTGTCGCCATGCAGAAAATGGAAAGGTCACTCCTGATGCACAGGGAAGTCCAGTCCTAGGTCCGTTCAAAGGATATCGGGATGGTAGGATGAACCCGGTAGCAGCGGGAAAAAAAGGTGGTAGGATTTGCAGAGGCACCACTAGGGTGATGCCAGCATGCCCACACAAACTCTCACCACTGATTGCATTAGAAGAGCAGTAAGTAATTGTTCCAGATCCCTATTCTTCCTTACTACCTTTTTAGTTACCTAATTAATGTTTATTCATTGTGTGGACCTCCTAAGAATATGTGAAGGTGTCCCCAAACTTATCTTCCAGTATTTCTAATCAGTATTACACACTTCCTTTGTCATTCCAAACGTGTGCTTTCTATATATAAAACATTGTTTTGAATTGGGACTGTTGACACCAACACTTCATTGTGTCTGTTGCAATAAAATTATGCAGGTATTCATTTTATCACAATGCAGCACGTTACCACTCACTGCAGCGCATGCCTGACTATCTGGGTGTGATAGTGAGGGCTGCTGCAGATGGGCCTGGGGTGGGGTTGGAGGCAGGCCTGGGCAAGGTTTGGTGGGACAACTGGTGGAGAGTAAGGTTTTTGCCTGGCTAGTAGGTCTAGACTTGAAATTTTAAGCCTTTTTTACACTATATGTAAGGAAATGGCAGATTAAAAATGTGTCATTGGCGTTTTAATAAATACTGCTTTATTAAGAATACTACTTTTGTCCAGTTCTTCCTAATACATTACTGTTCCCACAAGTATGCATTCAATCCATCGACTGGCCCCTCTACAACGGCTACCACTTCGGGCTTTTTTCCATTGACACCGAAGGCTTTTAAAACCGTTTTTGTTTTTTTTCTGCTGAAGTGGAACTTTAACTTTTGTTTTCTCTGTTATTAATTAGTTTTGGTGGCATGGTCAGGTTTTCACTGCTTTTGTCTCCTGTCAGATGTTTATCTTCAGTTTCTGTCTTGGTGCTATCTATCATCATGAAAGACAGAAGGTAAATGTCCCAAAGATGAAAGCTGGCCAAAGACCACTCGATAAAGAAAAACAATTCCACATTTTCAGTATTGCTTGCAATTATTCAGCTAGATAATAGTTTTAATGCCATTTCTTTTGTGTCTTAATTTTTTTATTGAATGTAGAAACTTTCTTTAAAAAAACATTTAGTTTTTCTCAGAGATATTTTCTCTATAACTAGATTTTGGTTAAAATCGCTGATATTCACATTCTTCAGGACACCTGACTGTTCTTTTGGCATCCCAGTCTTTACGTGGAAACACCAGGACCCCCTTGGTATTCTCAACCATAAATACAGATTGCGACACAGCGACCATATAATGCTAAGGAAGAGACAGCAGGTGGTCCTTCCTTATTCTCCTCTACCACTGATAGCAACAGGTTAAATTGCCTCAATTATACGCAATCTGCAGGCACCTCTCCCCCTTTAGAATGCATGGATACCAAGAGAAAATTAGGGTTTAATGAGGTGTCATAGCCATTGCACAAGTAAAATAAAAAAACATTTATTTTGCATGCTCCTACATAAATTAGATACATTATTTCATCAAAAGCATAGGTTCCCCCATACTGTCCTTGATACGCCACCAAAAAATGTCCAGAAATCCCTTGGGATCAATACCTGATACGCAAGTCAGCCAGAAAGACCACAATCTGGGACTATCGCCTATTTCCCAAGGACTAATTTGGACATGTATAAATTTGTTACTTTTTGTATTTCTGTATATTTTCTGGCAGCGTATCAAGGACAATATGGGGGAACCTATGTTTATGATGAAACCATTTTTTACGTAATGTGTGAGTATGCAAAATCCTTTTTTTTATTTTACTTGTGCAATGGCTATGACCCCTCATGAAACCCCAATTTCTCTTTCTCCTCTACCACTGACTACTCTCTATCTTATCTTTCTGTGTGCCCCAACCCCTTAGTCTTAGTCTTGTGCAAGGACAAAAGAGAGTATACATCTGCAAAAACCTCCATAGTCAACCAGCCACTTACTCCTATTAAAACGTATGTAAGCTCTAGAAGAACACAGTGATGAGACATCCCCTTATGCAGTGGGAAACAACTGTACCTCTATAACTCCTCATGCCTCTAATCACCAGGCAAAACTCCCCATGGGTTTTCTTCAATGGTACTTTCACATTGTAAATTTTATTTGGTTTTCTAATGTCTCCTACTATATTGAGTTTATTACCCTCCAAAACCCAATTACAAAATTCTGTAGTGGAGAATTTCTTCTTTTTTTTCCCTTTTCACTGTACACCGTTGATAACTGTTGTATATGAAAACTACTGATAAAGAATATAAAGAAATCACTTTATTATTTTGTTCTAGGCTCAATATGAGAATCCTCCACATATCTATGCATTGGCTGACAATATGTACAGAAACATGATGATCGACAGAGAAAACCAATGTGTCATTATAAGGTATGGTGTATGGCTTCCGGTGTGCTAATTCTGCAGTCTTCCATTGTTAGTCTATCGACTACTATTTTGAGTAGGGATTAACAATTGATGTTAGAACTGTAGCGCTAAGAATCTTCATGTATAGAAGTTCAAAGCAATCCATCACAAATTTGTTTTCACTGACCTGTAAGCTATGAAAAGCTAAAAGTTTATTGTAATAGGTAATTGCACTTGCGTTTGCAATTTATATTATGTAAAGTTGCATCCTAATGGGAAATGATTGAATTTAGACTAAACTTGCAATATATTGTCTTTAATTATGAACAATGTTGTTTGTATTGTGAGCAATAGGGGTTTAGTCGTTTCCCGTATTTAAGGTATTGATGTGTCTATAACTATAGGCAATACATGTCTCCATGTAATACCTGCAGCATTAACAATTTTACAACAGAAATTGGACTCTATAGGGCCCATCAAATATATAAACAGGATCTTTCATCAAATGGAAACTTGTTCAGGTTAAAAAAAATTCAGTTAATGAGCTCTTGATTCCTCATAGAGTAAGCATATTGCTGCAGGTTGTTGTGTATGTACACGTGTAATGTACCCCCTCTATTTTTCTTGGTGATCATTGTCAGAAAGTGATGTTAAATCCAAAAAAATTTAGTTCTCATCCGTGCAAGAGATGAGGAAAAATCCTCAAATTAGAACCCCTTTTCCTGTGACAACTATCCAAGAAGGAATTTTTGTTCACTTTGGAGACATTGCCTCTTATTTCCTGTTGCATCTACAGGACAGGAAGTGGAAGAAAATCCGCCTAGCATAATATAAGCATTAAAAAAATAACGTAACAGTGGTTGTAAATCCCAGTTCCAGGCACAGCTGTTTTAATCTTTATTTCCCACATAAAACCTGTCAATTATGTACTTTAGGAACTCTCTACACTCCCCTGAGAGCTCCTAGTATATACAGCTGTTTATACAATTCCTGCTTCCCACTGCATCGGAACACCACTTCCAGTGTTGTAGTCTCTCACCTCACTCTGCTGTGCCATTCACAAGGCGCTGCACAAACATCATCATTGTTTTGTACTTTGTACAAGGGACAGCAGAGTGAGGAGGAGGAGGGGATGGTGGAGACACACTACCTGAACTGGTGTCTATTGTACACCTCTTCCAGGTCTCCACTATACATATCAGATCCTGAAGTGCTAATCAAATTACAGCGTTTGTGAGTGTTTTTTTGTCTGGAGTGGGGCATAACCCTTCTCAAATCTAAAGTGTAGATAGATAGATAGAAGAACCCTCCGCACCCCTCACAGCATTCCCGGCCTATGCAAAAATGTTGCTCTCTGTGATGACCACGAATGACGCCGTGCAGATACCGAGTACAGAGTAGAGACAAGGATCACCAGCACTCAGCAATATCTTTCATTATGTCCATTTAATTGGACAAAGCGTCAAGATAACCTGGTCACATCTTTTTCGCCCTGAGGAAGGGGCCCTGTGTGGCCCCGAAACTTTAGCATTTGTTAATGTGACGCTTTTTCCAATTAAATTGACATATTGAAAGATATTGCTGAGTGCTAGTGATCCTTGTCTCTACTTCTGAAAAGACTACTAAAAAAGTTTTGTCTTTACATATACTTTAAGGGTCTACATGGGTACAGCTGCATCTATTTATGCTCACTCTAGTACCAATATATGAATCATTCTGTAATTAAGTGTGTCAGTCATTTACGAACAGAAACTAAAAACAAGCTCAGTCATGAAGGGGTTAAAGAATAACACTTGAACACAAAGTAGAACTGTGTTCCTCAACTCCAGTCCATAGTGACCACCTACAATAGACATTTTCCAGGATTCTACAGAGTCACTGAGGAAATAAAGTCTGTGCTTCTTTTGGTCTGCTACTGGTTTACACAGAGTTGCTTCTATCTGGAAGTCTGAAAAGCATGCACTGTTGAGGACTAGAGTTCAGAAACCAGAAACGCAATACAAAGGTTTAACCAACTAAGCTCCAACAGGCAAATCTCATGAACTTTTGTTAAAACAAGCTAATAATGCTGTGTAAAGTATAACTGTACCTTTTGTAAAGGATAGCTGTGCTAACCCCCCTTACCCACAGTTTTTTTTCTTTATAAAATAGATGTTTTTCTTGGCCTTTAAAATGAATCCTCGGTGGCCAGGATGTGAATATGTTTTTCTTCATTTTTCTCCATCCACAGAGCTTTCAGCAATTCTATTTTCCTAGCATTGCTAATATGTGTGAGTGCCACAAACTTTGAAGCACTTCCTATTCAAACGTTTGGTGTCCCGCATGTTGAGGTCAGCTAAATGATTCATGGCATGATCATTGGAACCAAATGATAGTGTCACATCCTGGCACTGTTTTTGTCTGTAATGCTTATAAGAAGCCCAAATCTCAGCAAGATTGTAGTGATCTGTTTTTAGCACAGGTTCAACCGCAGTGATGTTGTGATTACCAGTGCAGAACTCAGGCTGCTTCTATTTATAAGTGAAATTAAGACACCTGGATGGCTTTGAAGTCGAAGCCCACATGGGTATTCACATGGAACAAAAGCTCTGGTTGCTATGATTGCCACAAGAAGACCTTTTATCTAGTAAACAGAAGAGGATTGATAAGTAGGGCAAAATAATTATATGTATTCAACCAGCAGTGTCATGCCTCTATCAATGGCTATTAACCTTAAATTGTAGAGCATTTCTATGCAATTTGAGAGGTAAATTGAATGGAATGAATTTGCCAGAAGAACATGTGGGTACTTTGAAGATGGACCTACTTGTGAAATAGGATTTCAAGGTAGGCCATGTTGGTATTTTTTTCTGTTTTCATTAGAAAATGAATAAAATATAAATACGTGGTTTTCTTTTGAACTCCGAACCAATTGAGAAATGCTGGGATTAACTTAAGTTTCCAAATAGGATTTTTTTTTTTTTTTTTCAAATGGGAAGTATAGAGTAGACGTTAAGAATGATTGCAGTTTCCAGATCAGTCGGTAATATATTATGATTTTCTTTTATATTCTTTCTTAGTGGTGAAAGTGGAGCTGGGAAGACCGTAGCAGCCAAATATATAATGGGGTACATCTCGAAAGTGTCAGGAGGTGGTCCTAAAGTACAGGTGAAGAAACTGTTCTTTTCTGATAATTGAGGGCAATGCCACAAGTATTCTAATTCAATTTCTCATAACCCTTTCAGTGTCCTATATTACTTGCCATTTTAAAGTAGATGCAATGTGTAAGAATATTACCCATGTTACAATATAAAGTAAGAGCCTGACCCCTACCCTCTGCACATTTTTTTTTTTTATTTCAGTGCCAAGTTGGTAAGACTACCAAAACTTCACTCTCTGTTAGTCAAATCAACAGACTGTAACTTCCTGATCCTAGATGGCCACAAAGCTTTGTTTGCTTGTTCCTTGGTGCTTAGTTATATCCTTACTCCTCTGTTTCTAGTGGGTTAGTGTAGTAGTAATAATATAACACCATTTAATCCTTAGAATGTATGTTACTTTAAAGAAATTTAACATAACCTAACCTTTACTCACTAGCTTCTAGTGTCCATTTATATTCCAGCATTACTTTGTATTCCACTACTGCAGCTTGTCCACAGACAGTAACCCTTGTCTGTGCAATTGACTTGCATAGATGTAGTGGACACACATGTATGTATATGGGCAGGATACCATGTCCTTGTGCATGTAAAATAAATTCTATGTTTGTTTGAGTTGGTACATACCTAATGTCGCTGTGTAAGTATGATAATGGTTGTACATGTTCTTTTTTTTTGTAGCATGTCAAGGATATAATACTGCAGTCAAACCCTCTATTGGAGGCCTTTGGTAACGCAAAGACAGTAAGGAACAACAACTCCAGCCGATTTGTAAGCCTCAGTCTTTTTTTAAATAATATTTTGTTATGAAAATTATGTAGCTGTATTTTGTCTACTGAGACAAGAATTTTATATCGATAATAAAAATAGTAAAAATAATTGATGGACTAAATGGGAACAGAGCTTTTCTTATGCATATGAATAGATAGTAATACCTGTAAAAAATAAAAAATAAACCTTTAAGTGCCCAACGCTAATGTGCATGTTTTTGGCACGTCAACCAACATTGCTTTGAAAACGTCCATTACTTTTCATTGGGTCCTTAAGATGTCAACGGGCCAAAATATTTAGCTGTCACATTTCATTTTTTTACAACACACTGTAAGACAACGCATGTGTTCTTTAAAAAATGAGTAAGAAAAGACAGGTGTGCCTGTTTTTTTTTTCTCCGTGTATGTGCATGAGTGTGGCATTGAAAATGAATGATTAAGTGTGTACACAGTACATTGTATTACTGCATGTACTCCGCGTTAGCATGTGATAACAATGTGCACGCAAAAGTATGAGGGGACACTCATGCAAACCTTCTGTAGTGTGCCATATGAGCTATTAATTAGAGACTGAGGGGTTGATAAACTGAAGGCAGATAAGCAGTTCACTTTACAATGTCATTTGCAAATTGTAGGGAAAGTTTCCCTCAGCTTTGTGAATATGGTAAAATTTCACTTTTCAAATACCCAATCGTGCAAGGAAAAAAAAAAATTGTATTTCTGCTTGGACATGATTGGGTGAGGAAGAGAAAGTCAGCAGAGAGTAATTTCATTAACATAGGTAAGATGAAACTTCCCCTACAAAGTGCAAATTTTCTTTGAAAAATGAACAGCCTATTTGCCTTCAGTTAATCAACCCCTGGGTGTCTAAAAGGAAATAACTACTGCTGCTTTCTCTGTTTAGAAAACCCAAAATGCTCTAGGAAGTCTGTGTCAAATATTCACCTTGTATAAATGAAATTTATAAAACAAAGATTGTGTGGTAATTACAGTATATAGAACATGAAAGCATCAGTTTAAAAACATATGAACATTAACTGAAATATAATTTTTTCAATAAAATTGACCCCCAAAAAGTTTCCCTTTAAGTCAGACTTACACTGATACAAACATCGTTATATACACATCTCTATTTACTATATTGCAGTGTCAGATCATTCTGGAAGAAGTTTGATAGTTATTGTAATTACAGCTTGGAAATGGATTTGTGTCCTGTATATGTTTAGGGGATTGTTAAAAGAATCTAGTATAACATGATTGTTCCACGTTTTCATGTTGAATAGGGAAAGTATTTTGAGATTCAGTTCAGCCTGGGGGGAGAACCAGATGGAGGAAAAATCTCAAACTTTTTACTGGAAAAATCTCGGGTGGTGATGAGAAATCCAGGCGAGAGAAGCTTTCACATTTTCTATCAGGTATTACTATTATCTTATCTTTAAAAGGTGCACATGTATTCCACAGTACTGCAGCTTAAAGCCACATAAGATTTAAGTGTTAAGCTTTCCGTTTTAACAAACGTTATATAATGTGTATCTGCCAAAAGTTCTGGCATGCTCCCAGACAGTTTAGTTTTTTCATTTGAATTTGCCCCAGTTGGATTAGAACATCTATTTGTTCCAAGAGATTATTGACTTTGAGGCCTCTACATCTGAGGCTTCTACTTTGGTCAGTAGGAATGTCTGGGTGTTAATGTCATCTAAACATTATTAAATGTTTTCAGCATACTCACAGGTCAGCAGATGTTACTGTTGCTCCAGTCTTTCAGCAGCTAGTGCTTGGCAGAAGGTACAGTGAAACAATGCAAACTAATTATTCTACTGTTAGATCAACAACTTCTACATATGACAAGTATGTCTTGGTTATCTAATCCGCTTGTTTTCCTGAGAGCATAACTGTTTGAGTACTAGATATTAAAACGTAAGCAGGAATTTATCATCCCACATATGGAAACCGAATATGAACTAATTACTTAAATTATGAATGAATAGCGCCAACTTCCATAGTACTGTATAGAAAAGAAAATGGTAGACCAAAAAGTGAATCGCTGTACTGTGTATAAAAGTGCTGAAAATAATGTGTATCTGTGTGCTGACTTTCAGTATTCACATGCCATTTCTACCACCATGTGGGCCTCCTATTAATAAAAGGTCAAATGCACATTTAAAAAAAAATCCTCACAGGATACAACAGTGCCTGGCATATCTGGAAGATATTCACAAATTGGCCTCATGGGATATATTGGTGCCCAGTAGACATATATAAAGACTGAAAAGAAAAGCAGGAAGGAAGAAGAGCGCCCCATATGAGGTAAACGTTTTACCCAAATGAAAAGCGGGATAAAATTGCACTTGCTTAGAAGAAGAAAACCAGGCACACCCCTCCAGCAGCTGCATTTGATAGAAGAGATTAGTGTGGTGACTTCCCAAATATAGTTCAATGCTTTTTGTTATTTGCAACTTTTGGCTCAGTTTAATATTACAGATGAGTTAATATTTTTTAACGTTTTATATCATATTTTCTTATAAAAATGTTTGATATACCAGCCTACATTTTGCTTAGGTAGGGGATTATTTTTCCACATGAAAGGGACATTTGACTTTTGAAAGCCTTATTTTGTCATGAAATCGCTGTTTTATCTCAAACAGTTATTTTATCACTATTTTGACACTAAACTTAGGAGTTAAATCTTAAGAATACATTCAAGTACCTTACTATTAACAAACGTGTACCTTATTTGTGTATCACTCGGCTGTAGATCCTGAAATCATCTATGAATTGGTGCTGACACTGTCCTTCCTTCTGGAGGGTGGCTACTTTTGTTCCCCATGGTCACTGTGTGTGTGTGTGTTGTAAAGTAGCCACCGCTCACAACTCACTCCTGTAATGGACTACAATCTCATGTTTAGTTTACTAATTTATATTGAGATTATATTCTATCACGGGAGTGAGCTTGAAGTGGTGGCTACTCTACAACACATACAGAGACCATGGGGAACAAAAGTAGCCACCCTCTTAAAGGAAGGACAGCATCAGCACCAATTCAGAGATGATTTGAGGATCTACAGCTGAGTGATACACAAAAAAGATTTTTTTGTTAATGGTTAAGGTATTGAATGCATTTTTAAGACTTTACTCCTGAGTTAAGAGTCACTTTAAGCAGCTCTTTTCCCTCCTCTAGTCTAATAAAAACCTAATGGTAACTCACAGGTACCACCTGCCTAAAGCTACCTGTATTTTAAGGATGGCTAAGGCAGGGGTGGACAAATTAATATAGAATTCAGGAGCAAACTTGTCTAATCCAGGAGCCAGCAGGATTTTTTTAGGAACCAGCTCCACTGTTGTCAACTAAAGAAAACCTCAGAAATTAGGCGGCAGCTATAATTTTTAAGGCGCATTGGCTACCTGGTGTCACACTGTCCTGGTATCCGTGGCAGATTTTCCCTCTTGTCTAGTTTCCATGTCAGATTTTCACTTCTGTCCTAGGTGCCTGGCTGTCACAGGCCTGCAGCCAAACTTCTCGCTCCCTTCCTTTTGTAGGTTCAGCTCACTTGTTGCTCAGGGTTCAAGCCTGTGTTCTTTAGGGGTTTTCCTTGCAGTTTATGGAGATATGTCATAATTCCTTGTTCCCTTGGATTCCTTGCTTATCCCTGTGGATTCCCTGCTTGGCTTTTTCCCTCCTTGCTGTTCCCTATGTCCCTGCTTACTCCCAGACCCTTGTTATTCCCTGTGGTATTGCTGTGCGTTCACATGTGAGGTGTGAGTGGCCATACTTGTTTGTCCACTGATTGCTATCCGCTTGTGTGAGCCCTTTCTTCACTCGTGTGTCTGCTTTCCCTATTTGCACTGCTCTCTCTGAGTCCCCTGTGCTGTACTCCTTGTTGTAGTAGTTCCTACCCTTTGCCCCTGTTTCTGCATTGTCCTTGCGAGTACCTTCCCTGTGTCTTGCACTGTGCCTTCTTTGTGGGTATCTCCCTGTTTGCCTATCCTCACTCCCTGGAAGTCATCTCCTGCCTTCCTTGGGCCCTCCTCGTGTATTTCTTCAGTTTACTTCTCTGTACACACAGTGTGCTTCTGCTTTTCAGCGATGTAACTTTTGTATATTGCATGTTCCTTTGTTACGCTCATTCCTTGTGCCCTGTATCTCAGTGTAGCACATTACTTGTAACAGTCTGTGTAGCTTGACTCTGCGTATGGATGTCTCCTGCATGCACTCCCCAGTGCATTCTCAATTCCTGTAATATGCACTTTCCCGGCATTCCATTTCCCAGCGTGTCCTTCACTAAGTCTTTCATTTTTGACCCGATGCAGCTTTCCTGCATCTCTTGGGCACTGTCTCTTGTCCTACTTGCCACTAGTCCTGTGTCCTAGTGCTGTACTGTCCTGGACCCCTGCGTTTCCCATTGCACTTCTGTCAGCTGTGTCTGCATGGGGGTGTTGGAGGACCTCAACCTGGGAGCTACCCTGCCGCACAACATCCTCAACATCCTCACCATCAGAGGCTCTGGAGAAGACCAGGCTCTCTTTAGACTCTGTGCCTCTGGCACACCCACGTTTATTGTGCAGTCACTCTGTTCCCGGTCCCCTGTGTTTAGAATACCGGTACCCTTTTACTCCCCAAGACCTGTGCTCCTAGCCTGTTCCCTGTTCTGGAGAGCTCCACAAAACTCACTATCCCTAATGCCCCAGTTCCCTGATCATGACACCTGGCTCCTGAAATTTGTCCAGTCCTAGGCTAAGGCATGCATTAATCTATGTGAAATAATGTTTATTGTCAAAATAGATTACAAATACCACCTGCAGCAAATACACCACTAACACCGCAGGATAAGGATCCCTTTTTAAAAAAAAAAAGTGACAGTATAATGAGCTTTGACATTTATAGTCGCATGGCTAATCAAAAGATCCTCATCCTGGTTTTATCTTTGTGATTTGCCTAACATATGTGTGGTAAATTAATCTGCTCCATGTGCTAAAGGTAGAGGACTGAAAAATCAATTTTCCATTATAAACATGAGCAAGTAATGCACAGTAATGAAAATACCTCATGTGTTATGCTTTTGTGAAGTGAGCTTTTTGTCAGGGGGCTGGAAATGCCACGAGAGGTACAGGGGGTAGAATCAGCATGTGGAATCTATTAGTCAGCACACTTTTATATTATTTGCTGCACTTCATGGATTTTATGTATCGCTGTTTTGGACTTTTTATTATAATTGCACTGCTCAACTTTTTACATTGTATTCAAATGTTCAATGCAGCTGCTTGATTACTTTTTATTTTACACTATGTATTACTACGCACCTGTTGGACTGAGCTCAGAGGTTCTTGGAGTCGAGCTACAGTATATGGAAATTAAATTAACATATGAGCAGCTTTTAAGTTGATGTGAAATAGGGTCTCTTCTTTCCAGTTAGCTAGTCTCAACATCATTGCAGGGGACTTGACAACACAACCAGTATCCGTATGGCTTTTGTGTGTGTGTGTGTGTGTGTGTGTGTGTGTCTGGGTAGAATGAAAAAAAAATTAAAAACTGCAGTACTTGCAAATTTCCCCATGTTTTGCCTTGCAACACTGCAAGTACAGAAACATACCCGTTAATCCTGCAAAAATCCTTAGAGCTCCTAAATTCCTGTTTAAGCTGACAGCACAGTGACTCTGTTGCAGGGAAAACCCAACAGTTTTCTAATCCTTGACAAGTTCTCTTCTGTTGAACTAAAGAGAACCTCTCACCTATGCTGTGGAGAAGAGGAGCGGTGTTCTGTAGTCCAGGAGGGGAGAAGTAAGGCAGGGCTAACTACATAGCTTGGGATTCAGTGTAGCAGAGGAAATCTTGTCAGTTCACTACAGAAAGTTAGTAGCTCACCAGATTTCTGGCAGATCCTCAGTGTTTTGTACATAAAGAAAAATATGTGTGTGTCTGTGTGTGTGTATTGCAGAGGTGTATTGCATTTGTTTGTTCTATTTTGCATAGACATACGTTTTAGGTCAGATTATTTTACTAACCATAGCCAATCTTTAGCATTTGTTTTAGGCCTGGTTCACACTGAGCGTTTTGTAGCGCTTTTACTACACTAAAAAAATCCTATATTTCTATTGCCCTGTTCGCGTCTGAGCATTTTGTCACAATAAGCAAACTGCCTGTCGCTGGGAAAAAAATACATGAGCTTTTTTTTTTGGCATATTACAGCTTGTTCTAGCTCCATAGACTGAATAGGAAACGCTTAAAAACGCACGTTTTCTGTGGTTTTTTGCACACGTTTTATGCACGTTTGCTCATTAACATCAATGAGCTTCAATCTCCTCACAAAAACACACGACTGAAATTATGTGCATAAAACGCACGTGAAAACGTGCAAAAAGCGCACAAAAACTTGCAGCAAAAACGCTGTCGTCTTGGTGTGTACCCAGCCTTAAAGGAGAACTATGATGTGAGTGATTTCCACTCAACCTCATAGTTAGAGCCGACATGTGACAATGAAACTGTCGCACGCCAGCTCTATAGATTGGGAAGTGAACGAACACATATCGTCGCTCGCTCACTTTTCAATTATCTCCATGCAGAGAGCGTAGACTGTCGGTCACCACTCCCCGCAGGGATTCCCTTACCCCAGGTTACCCCATAGTTCTCTTTTAAGGAGTAAGAGTAAGGGCTTTTTAACACTGGATACATTGTCATGCATTTTTCTACATTTTCCACGAAGGCAAAATGTATGAACAAGTGGAGGTCCTTTGTTTTCAATAAGACCTGATGACACAAGGCTGCCTTGCAGTGCATTGGTAAAATCACTATATACTACATTTTGCGTGTGTTGACCTGTGTTTTGAAAATTCAAGTCTATACAGCTCTTAGAATAATGTAATGCAGCACAAAGTGTCTAAACTCCATGCTGTTTCACATAGTGTGAATGAGTGCTGATAAACTGTTAACATCTGGATTTTGTCCTTTCGTGCTGTACAATGCTATTCGGCCTCATTCACACAACAGAAATGTGCATCCACACACAGGAATCCGCTGGACCCTTGCCGCAGCTGGCACATTTTTGCATTGTGAATGAGCATTTGTGAAATTGTTTTCTCTTTGATGTATTTTTCTGTTTTTTGCCAGTTGATTGAAGGTGCCTCTAAAGAGCAAAAGAATGACCTTGGCATCACAACCCTAGATTACTACTGTTATCTAAGCCAGTCTGGATCTTACAAAGTGGATGACATCAATGACAAGAGAGACTTTCAGGAAACTATGGTACTTCATATATGTGTATTGTCTGTGTACTGAAGGCATTTTCAGCAGCCTTTTAATGTATTTATTATTCACATGGTTTAAGAGCAATTATAATTTGTGCTAATGACTAGATATCTGTGACCAAGTGGCTTTTGATTGTGAAATGAGGATTCCAAACTTTTTTTTTTTTTACATATAAATATGAAGAAACGTTTTTGAAGGGGTATTTTTTTGCATACTATTATTTTTGAATGGCTGTATCTTTGTAAATGATACCAATATATCCGTTTATGATCTTTCATTGTAAAGATTTATAAACTTTCTACAATTTGCAGTGTTTTCTTATTTATCCATTCATTGATTTTAATTGTTGCCTGTAGCTTTAACAGCTAAAAATGACTGATCAAAGGTTCCTGCACAAGGCCCAGTTTGTACACTATAGAAGTATGTCAATGCTGTCATTGATAAAATATCAGGAGGATAGTTTACCGCCTTCTTGTAAGACAGTGCAATACGTAGATATACATACCCATGCATCATGGTTTATTTTCCATCGTAGGAAATGCAGATAAATTCAGTATCCAAAAATATTTCTGTAATGGTTACTTGGAGACTAAATCAATTCTCTGTTCTTTACTTCTTAGCATGCCATGAATGTGATTGGTATATTTGCAGAAGAGCAAGCTATGGTGCTGCAGATTGTAGCTGGAGTTCTACACCTGGGCAATATTAGCTTCAAGGAAAAAGGCAACTATGCAGCGGTGGAGAGTGAAGAGTGTAGGTATTTTATTTTTAAATCTATCAGCAGCTCTATCATCTGTGGTGGCCTACAGCTTGCTTAGTTTTGGACTAAAGGGACAGGATACTCAAGTAATGATTGGGAGTAACAGTGTTTAATTTTTGTGTGTGTTGAAAACGGTGCTAAAATTCCTGACTGAGCTGATGATTGCTACACCATCTCAATGCCAACAGGAAACACTTCAAAACTGATTGTTGGGAAAGGATTCTACCATCTGTTTTACTGATACAAAAACAGAGGACTGGTATTATATTATGTTCCCATACCAATAAAGAAATTAGATATTGGTAAAATCATGTAAACATTTTTCAAATCTTGGTGAAACCTAATATTACTGAGATACTTGTGAGAAAATGTCTTCGTGCCATAACTACCTGGGTTCCCCTTGGCAATCCTATTGGTGTTGAAGTCAAATAATCGGTAATTCCTGTAATAGATGGCATTGTTAAATTGAACATGCGCCCAGACTATGCACATTAAATTGAGCATCAGCAAAAGCACTTTCAAAAAGTCCCCATTCATCTCTGTAGCTATAGTAATCTGCCTTCTAATGTAAACAAACAGGTGTTTCTAAGCTGTTAGAAACAGATTGTAAAATCTGACTTTGAGAATGTATTACTTCACAAAACAAACAGCTAGAGAGGTGCGTGATGGTTTCTTGTTCATCCTCCTGCTGCAGTAGAGATAAACAGGCATGCTTTAACAAATCACAATCAAACGCCTCCAAGTCTGTCTGCACATCAGCCAAAGTATGTCCTACGTGCATGGCTGGCCATCCACAACCTACATTTTTCTGAGCACTATAAAAGCTCTTACATATTTACACTGAGAGCAGTACAAAGCATCTGAGAGCTTTTACTCTGTTGCCACAATCTAAATAAAGGGTTACAGCACCTTGCAGTAAGTGCAGCAATCCTTCAAGTGTGCTGTGAAACAAGCATGCTTTACTGTTCCAAGCATGTTAAGCACTTGGGAAAGAAAAAAGAAAATCCTTAGCAGCAACATCGTGTTTGCACATTCCACTCCCCCCTGAAGTATTTGGCCTGGTCTGTTTGAAATTAAATTATAATGCCAGATATTAAGATTTTTTTTTTTGCACAGACAAAGAACCTTTTACAGGTGTAAATGAAGGAAAGGTAATTTTGTTGTAATTTGTGTATTTTGCTACTATTTGCAGCATATGCTGTAAGGTATTGATGTGCTCATACCCTTTCTGTAAAAGCTGCTTACCATTTACAAAGTTGTATTATATCTGGAGGAAATCTCCTCTGTAATTTATAAATGGTAGCTTTTATGGGGAAAAAAAGCTGCACTGTATTTGTATTCACTGTTTTCAATTAATAGCACATGTTTGATATGGCATTATGCATGGGTTATCAACCAAAAATCGAATACATATGCAATATGGATAAAACTGTGTGTAATATTGTCTGAAATGTAAGACCCTGATTTATTTATTTATAGTAAGTTAGGAAACCCCCATTAATATATACAAAATTACTTTTTGTGTGTGCCAGGATATTGTTTGGTCTTTCTATAGAAGCCTTGATGTCCATATGTGTAGCAGATATTCAAGTCGTATCTAATAAATCTTATCTGAAATTTCAAAGACGCGGAAGAATTAAGATAGTCGGTTTTATACTTTAGTGTTCATACTTCTACTTCCCCATTTAAAGGGTCATTAAATCAAAACCAGAAGTTTCTTCACATAGAGCAACTGTAAGTCACATTAAGAAATGTAAACGTGGAAGTGCTGTAACTTGATCAAACTTCTGATTATTTTACATTTACTTTCCCACAACTACTGATATTATATCTCAAGTTCTGAAATGTCCCTGGAAATGTTTGAGATCTCTATATGGAGTGCAAGTGGAGGGGGTCATTGTTTCAAAGTCATTGTAGGGCCTTCTGGCTTTCAAACTTCAGTTTTAGAAGTAATCCCCAGACTTAGAACATGGCAATTTTAAATCCGTACCCACCACTGCAGCACCCTGTTTAATAGGTATAATTTAGAGGTTCCTAAATGTTCTGCTTACATTAACATATGTTGGTGAAGCACTGAATCAGAGTTTTTAAATGTACAGCTTGTCCTATTTGAAAAAAGTGGCTGCTCTCAAACATTCAATGGGTCCAGAGGGCCCAATGGTCTGATTTGCCAGCAGTAAGTCTAGCAGAGTGAAGAGAGCATTGAATGTATGATTAAAAGTTCAGATTATTTTAATTTGCCATGAGAGTAACATGGATAGCTAATGCATTTTAGGATCTTAACCAAATTCTCTTTTATCATGGTTACAAGTAACATTTAAAACTTTAATCAGAATTGTGCAGATGGTAAGATCAAAAGATAATATAATTGTGGTACAGTGTAAAACGTAATGTAGAATTTATATAAATGGTTTCTTATAAGGGTATTAGAAGTTAATTGGTGGTTTATATAACTCTAAATCAGTATCTACTACTGCAGAACATTACTTTCTAGGTATAGTTTAGAGTTGCTTGACTGTTGTATACATCAGTTACCCCCCTAATTTTATTGCTACCTTTTATAAATGATGCCTCACTAGCAGTTGCATGTTCAACTATGGATATTAATATATTGCCTTGATAACTGTATTTTTGTTTTCATTCCATCTTGGTAAAGGAAGTGCTTTGTATACAAAAAAAGTGATAGTGACATGCAGTGTTCTGCTTGTATCTTTTTTTTCTTTTTTTTGTGTGACCTTTGTCATTTAGTCAATGAGATTAGCGATCAGGGATATCATGTTTGTAATGGAATGATTTACAGGAAGTGTATATGAATTGTATCCGCTTGGATTCACTAGCGGTTCGTTTTCTAGCTTTCCATTATCATCTACCCATTAATAATGAACTAAAACCAAATATAGTCTTTTAAAATGTGATGTCTCACTTATATATATATATATAAAAAAAAGAAGGCAATTACAGGGTTGTTGTCCATTTACTAATAATAAAGGCCCGTGGAAGTCATGCCTCTACCATCCTACATCGGAAATTGACCCATTTATTGTTTGTAAATGCAATAACACGTGGCTACTAATCCTAAATCTGCTTTCAGTGGTCAAACCGATTAAAAAGGGATCTATAAAGGTAGTATGTTTATAGACTTTTCTGAAATAGAGTCCCTAAATTTCTAAATTTATTTATCTAAAATGACACTTAGGGGTTGATTTACTAACCTTATAAACACGCCACGAACAAGTATACACCTCTGTAGTGTGTTCCCTCCCAGCATGATCTATTGGTGGAATCTAGACACCTTTGTAGTGTGTACACACCCAGCAGGTGTGTTGTGCAAAGCCCTGCATGAATTGCAAGGTGATGTTGTGTAAATTAGCTCTACGTTGTGTTGCTTGCGTTGATGAATGCAGGAATGTAAATGCATGAGCTAACCATTTTTGTCTAAACTGTGAAGCAGCATTATATATGCATCATGTGCATGATTTTTCCATATATGGCATTAGTGGAAATATGCTTTTAGAGACTTGCATGCCGCTATTAGAGCGGCATGTAGCCGATGGCGCATGCTACATGACGCGCACGTACGTAAATACATAAAGACGCGGCATAACAGCGTGAAAATGTGACACGTTGCTCGTGTTAGGTTGATAAATACGTTTTGCTGTGTAAAAATGCACACGCACCTGGTGCGTGCGTGTGTTTAGGTTAGTAAATCACCCCCTTAGTCTTGTAGCCACAGACACATTTCAGTAAGATACAGTATGTGTTTTGCCATAACAATCTTTATTCTCAATGGTAAATATATGGACACAACAATCATCATAGCTTGGTGAAATGTACCTCACATTTTTCCTTACCAGCTATCCTTACTGTACTTCATTGTGTTGTTACTACAATAGTAGTAATGTGGCCTGCAGATATATACAGACAATGTTGGTATAGTCTGTTATTAATTGAGAAGAAAGGGCCAGGGGAAGTAAAGTACATTTTGTGATTTGGGCATCTATTTGGCAAATGAGGTTTAATGTTGATAAATGTAAAGTTCTGCACTTGGGGACTAAACCTGAATGCGTCATATACTTCTGCAGTCTGCAGGGTCTCATGGGGGCTGTGCAGGATTTGTAATGGGCTCTGCCCACCATGGGGGCTGCAGAGCCCACACAGATCCTGCAAAGCCCCCATGAGACCCTGATGTCTGCCAGATATCAGAGGGGCTGTGCAGGATCTGTGGTGGGCGTTGCAGGAGGCAGAGCACCCTACGGATCCTGCAAAGCTCCCCACATATCCTGCAGAGACCCCCTGAGACCCTGCAGTCTGCCGGATCTCAGGGCGCGCTGTGCAGGATCTGTAGTGGGCTTTGCAGGATCTGTGGGGGGTGTGCAGGCTGCAAAGCCCCCCACAGATCCTGCACAGCCCCCCTGACATCTGGCAAAGCCCCCCACAGAGACCCTGCAGTCCGCCAGATCTCAGGAGGGCTGTGTAGGATATGTGGGGGGCTTTGCAGGATCTCTGGGGGGTTTTGCAGGCTGCACAGCCCCCCTGAGATGTGGCACAGCCTCCCACAGATCCTGCAGAGACCCCGCAGTCTGCCGGATCTCAGGGGGGCTGTGCAGGATCTGTGGGGGGTTTTGCAGGCTGCAAAGCCCTTGCAAAGCCCACCAAAAGGTATTGCACAGCCCACCTGTGACTCTTTGGTGGGCTGTGCATAATCTATGGTGGGCCCTGCCAGCACAGTGCTCCTACCTTACACGGGAAGCCCAGCCTTCACTGCTGCCTCGGCGCCCAATCTTCTCAGCTTCGCCGCTCGACTGGACCCTTGGCGACGCCTTTCTCCATCGCGGTCTCGGCGTTTGCCTCAGTCTTCACAGGTCTCTTCCATCTCCCCCTGTCTCCGCCCCCTGTCTCATGGTGAAAGGATTCTTCACAGTTAGAGCTGTAAAAATGTGGAATAGACTCCCCCAGGAGCTAGTTCTAGCTAGCTTGGTTAATTGTTTTAAAAAAACATCTGGATGTATTCTTAAATGCACAGAATATTACTGGATATTGAGTTATTGTAGATATATTGGGCATCAGAGATTGTTGATCCAGGGAATATCCGATTTGCCTTATGGGCTCAGGAAGGAATTTTTTCCCCTGTTGGAGCAAATTGAACCATGCTTTATAGGGGGGGGGGTTGTTTTCCTCTGGATCAACATTGGGTAATTGTGGGCACAGTGTTCTGTTTTTTGTTTTTTTTTCTCCGTATCTCTATAGGTTGAACTCGATGGACTTTTTTCAACCTGACTAACTATGTAACTATGTAATTTTACTGTTCTTATATTGTTTCCATTATTTAAAAAAATATTTTGGTCTTTACCGTCTTGTTAGAAGAACTGTATCTGAAGCTCCTTAAACAAAAAAGTATGATGCAGAAGAAATGTGTCATCCGGCTTGTATAGAAAACTTTTAGAGCTGTGCAATGTAGTTTTAAAAAAAGCTGCAATTAATATGGGTGGCCTCCAGTCATATGGTATAAATCCCTCTTTCTTTAGCTCTACAGCTGTAACAAATGTGTCCCTTTTAAAATACACATTTGATTTAGCAAACTTCTCCCACTATCATTCTCATAAACACACAGATGATAGAGTTCCACTCTATTTATTCTACTATGAAGGAGACAATACAATTTGGCTACATTTGCACTAGAATGCAACACCTGATGTTGTCTGAAAGCCTGTTGCCACCCAGGGAAAATGACTTCCCAGTAATTTTCTAGTTTCATAACCGTTGACAAGTCGCAGGTTCTTGTTACAGGACCTGTGTGCATATTTATTCCCCTTTTGTATATTGTGTCTGTGAACTCCACATGGATGGTTACACAGAAATGACCTGAATATTTGTCCTGTATTGTAAAGGTCTCTTTCGTTTACAGTTTTAGCATTCCCTACATTCCTCCTGGGGATAAATGAAAGTCGCTTAAAGGAGAAGTTGACAAGCAGACAGATGGACAGCAAGTGGGGCGGCAAGTCCGAGTCAATCAATGTGACTCTGAATGTGGAACAGGCCTGCTATACCAGAGATGCTCTGGCCAAAGCACTTCATTCTCGAGTCTTCGATTACTTAGTGGATGTAAGTCCTGCCTCAGGAGTGGTGTTATGGCGATATCAACTCGTTTATTTACCTATTTGTTGTATAATATAGTAATCATCATGGTAATCTTTAATATACTATTTTATATTTTATTGCAGTATGTAAATCTAGTTTATTAGCATTTCGATGCCCACTAAAATTTGAATTCAGGTGTACCTCTTTATAAAAATCTCAGTAGATGTTCCCCCAACCCCCTTTAAGTAGTTTATCCAGAGAAAATAGGTATTAACACTTGAGTTTCTGTTTTCATTATTTCATTACATTAAACATTTTCTTTTTTTTTTAGTCAATCAACAAAGCCATAAAGAAGGATCACGAAGAATACAATATTGGTGTTCTTGACATTTATGGCTTTGAGATTTTTCAGGTAAGTTACAGTTTTGAACTTATTGTAGCTCCAGTGGTACCCTGTACTCATCTGATTAACACATTTGTTTCTTTTCAGAAAAATGGTTTTGAGCAGTTCTGCATCAATTTTGTGAACGAAAAATTGCAACAAATATTTATAGAATTGACACTTAAAGCAGAACAGGTAAATCAGCTGACCTACTTTATTGCTTTCTGGAAAGTTAGCATGCTAACTGTGGTAAGGGCTAGTGTTAAAGGACTTAGAGTGCATAGAGGTTTATGGGTACTTGGCAGGGGATTGTAGCTTCTCTAGTCTAATAATATGTACTGAGCTGAATGGCATATGTAATTCTTGGGACAAAAATGCATATGGTTTTTTTATGGCTTTTACTGATACCCCCTCTCCTCCCTAGTGATCCAGCCAGGCTCTTCTGTATCCAACATAGTATGATCAAGGCCATACTGAGTAGGGCAGTGCAAAATATCTTTAATAGGTCTGAATACAGCAAACTGAATTCTGGTTGCATTAGTTTACCTTGCTTTCCACATAGCTATTGCACTTTGTGTTGGTGCTTAAAATCTATTAATAAAATGTAAAATAGTTCTGTATCATAAAATATGAAACAACAAAAACTTTATAAAACGAAAAAAAATGATTTTTCTAGCTATTGTTTATCACCAAAGGCAGGCAACCATGTCTAGTATAAAAGTATACACCATTTTGTCTTCCCTCATGTAGAGAAAACTCCTGGCAACAGCAAATCTATCTCTCCTTTTCAAATATTTGTTTTAACACCCATATGACTGGTTAGACGAAGATGTCAATTCTTTTATATTGTATTTCTCTCTTGTCATGTTGTAGGGTTTTTGACTGCCAAGGGTTAACCAGAAAGAAATATGAATTCTTTAGAGGCGTGTATTGCAGTAAAATAATGTTCATATTTTACAGTTTTCTTCACTTTAAATTGCAGGAAGAATATGTCCAGGAAGGCATTCGATGGACCCCAATAGAATACTTTAATAATAAGATTGTATGTGACCTTATTGAGAATAAAGTGGTAAGTGTATTGTTTGGTCTAGTTGTTGTTATTTTCTATTATTTCTATATTATATGTATTACTTTTGCCAAATTCTATGGCATAAGGCTCAATTGTGTTAACCGATTATCGTGTACTAATAATCTATGTTGTATGTATTATTTTTGCCAAATTCTATGACATTGGGCTTAAAGAGAATGTATAGTGAATTTGTGTAATTTTTTATTTCTTTATTATGGTCAGAGTGAAGCTTTAGGCTTCTTTTCATGTGTGTTTCCTTACACCTGCTGTAAAAAAGCTTTTTTTCATATTTCAATAGCACAATCTTGAATTTACACACACACAAATGAGTTAGAGTAGTGACTCGTGGCAATTACTTTTCCCTTTTTCTGATGTCTAAGTCCCATGCCTAAATTAGATAAACATGTAGAAAGGCAGGTTTTGTTGTGCTTTTTGGTTAGATAAGCCAGTGTGTCATGTATTAAATGTTTTTTTGTAAAACTAAGATTGTCTATATTTAATTAATAAATAGTGGCGTAGTGGTTAGCACTTCTGCCTTGCAGCATCTAGCCGGCCAAACAGCATGCAGCCGGTTTCCCGGCCAATCAGGAAGTCGGACAGCAGGTAATGGCCATCCTTCCGGCTTCCTGATTGGCCATGCTGATTGGCTGGGATGCAGGAATCCCGGCAAATCAGCATTGAACCAGCCAAACAGCCGGCTCGATGCTGATTGGCCGGGCAATCAAGAAGCTGGGCAGTGGGTAATAACACGCTGCCTTGACTTTCTGATTGCCCGGTAGCCGACTCCCTGCTACTGGAAGTATCGGTACTTGGTAGCGCCGAGTACCGAAATATAAATATCGGTTCTCATACTCTAAATCGAAAAACCGGTATCTGTACATCCCTAATCTTTCATTATGCAGTACAAATGGTACTGTAGAATAGTGTGTTTTCAGTATAACAGTCAGTGTTGATTTTGTGCCACTCTGTATACTTTTCAGAACCCACCAGGCATAATGAGTATTTTGGACGATGTATGTGCCACAATGCATGCAGTGGGAGAAGGAGCTGATCAGACACTTTTGCAAAAACTCCAGATGGCTGTGGGAACCCATGAACATTTTAATAGTTGGAACCAGGGCTTCATCATTCATCATTATGCTGGAAAGGTAAGCCTGAATTCTCTACACGAACATTCAAAAGGATGATTTACAACAATGGTTCAGCCTAGGCAGGCAGCCTTTTGGTATGTAATATGTTATATTTTAAACAACTGGGCTCAAAATTAAACCAACTGATTAACATACACTAAGGGAAAATGTACATCCAGATATGAGAAAAATAATTGTTTTATGATTGCTGAAATGTGAGATTCATTTCTAGAGCATACCCATTAATAGAATGCACATTTCTGAAAGTTAATTCTAAGTGGAATGTTTTTCAAAGTGGCATTGAATTTAGTCACCTGGGCTAGACATTTGTGGTATGTGCTCTTCTCTCTGCACTATAAGACACCTCACCCTGTGCAATGTGGAGGGGAGATGTTCTGAAGTCCTAAAACACTTCAGTCCCAGGGTGACAACACTGCTGCTCCGTAGATCCAGCAGGGTGAGTGAGCTTGTTCATCCTAGGACAGGAAATGTGCTACGGACAGGATTTCCAGGTATAAATAAAAGGAAAAAATATTGCAATTTAGGAATAGTAGGCTGCAATATTACGTTTTGTTCTTTGATATAGATGCACTTAAGTGACGGAAAGATGATTCCGGAATTGATTTCTATATTACTGTTTATGTATAATTATGGCAGTCACCAGCTACTTCCTTGGCAATCAGTTCTGGATTAATCAGAAAGCTTGCCGAGTCTCCCCATTACAAACTGAATTAATCCACCATTAATCTGTGTCATGTCTGCTTAGTCAGATTTTTTGCAGCGCCTTCATTTTTTCACACTGACGTCCGTATTCTAATAAACCTGCTGCACTGTTTATTTAATACTCCCTATGTGTATGCATTATGTTTTAATTGCCAAAGAATGTGCTGACAGATATTTACACTTTGCCTTGTTCACTTGTTTCCCTAGAATCACATTGTGGTTAACTGCAAAACTGGAAAGCAGGTTTCATTTTTATTAGCAGCATGGCCTTAAGTGAAAATTACAAATCAAAGCAATCTTGGAATTAAATTAGTGCCAAGAAATGAATTAAAGCTCTGTAAATGGTTGTTCGAATTGCTGGAATTAGTGGTGACACAGTGCTTAGAAATGGTGCTTAATGTACAGTTTACCTATGTATCAGATAATGATTCTGCCACGTTACTTTTAAAAGTTGAGCATACAACCTGTTAAACCAATAGTCATCATGACATTGGAGACATACCTAAAATAACAACACACACATGTAATGGTATGAAGATAATTCAGTCCATAGGTAAAATGTACAGTTTACCGATGTATCAGATAATGATGCTCCCACGCTACTTTTAAAAGTTGAGCATACAACCTGTTAAACCAATAGTCATCATGACATTGCAGACATACCTAAAATAACAACACATACATGTAATGGTATGAAGATAATTCAGTCCATTAAAGGTCACCTGCATATTAAGTTAAACCTAAAACCATAGTTGAAATACATACATGGGAATTGTCTTGCATATAAACTGTACTGCAGTTCCATTAACCCTTGTGATCCAGAAATCTCTGCCAGACAAAACTATCTGATCACTGACCTGACTTTTCTCCACTGCAGTAAAAGTGAAACTATAATGAATGGTTATGGGTCAGTTGTATTGAAATGTATTATTTTAGATTTTTAAGCTGATGTTTTATACATATTTTGTTTTACTATATTTATTCAATCCTACAAATTAGCCTTAAATCACCAATGACTCCAAGAGCACTACTGTTTAGCTAAGCAGGCAGCCAAGCAATCATTTTCTCTTTTTAGGCAGGCTGTCCTTACTTGAAATCTTGAATAAATCCATTGGATTAGCGAGGAGTCACAATTTTCTGCTTGGGCTACTGAGCTCTGTAACCAGCCATTTTTTCAGAAGAAAAAAACAAACTGAAAAACATGAATAAAGTAGCCTGTAAATCTCCACATGCTGGTAGGGCAAAAGACCACATTTTCTCAATTTGACATTTCATATTTACTTAAGAGAAAAATTATATTTAAAAAATGTTATAACATACATCGTTAGATTTGAGGAAAGGCTGTAATGCTCTTTTTTGGGGGTGGGTTGTTTACACCAGATGCCTTATTTTCAATAGGACCTATCGCCACCAATGCGTCTTGTTGCAGCATGTAGTGAATATTCCTCTGATACTTTTGGGTGCCATCACCTGCATTTTGCCTTCCACGCCAATTGAATAAAATATTTTAACACTATGCGCATCAGTGTGTATCAATACCCAGAACGGAAAGTACATGCATTTTGGGTGTGAACTGAACCTTAGACCTGAGAATGTACATGCTATTGAGGTTTGTTCATGCAAGGAAGAGCAAAGAGTCAACTGTTATATATGGTACTTTTCACTTTTATAGTCAAATTTAAGAAAACCCTCACTACATGGTTGTTATGGATTTCTATTCACGCAGCATGTCTAAAATGATTTAGAAAAATCGTTCTGAACTTTTAGATGTGTCTGTTAAGCAGGTATTTGAACAGAATGCAAGTTTCTCTTGCCAGTTTTAAATGGGAAACTCTGTCCCCATAGAAAAACTAGGGACACACTGAGCATCCTCTCATTAACATACAATGCTTCTTTAAACCTTTGTTGATCGAAAGTGTTCAAATCTAATTTACAACCAATACTGTAATGAGAAATGCCAACACAGTACAGACAAGATTCATTATAGTAACCTCCCCAGCCCTATTGTATTCCAGAGGAAAAATTCAGTGGGAATTACTAGAGAAAACAAGTAATATGTAATAATCACATTTTAATTTTCTTTTTAGAAAATGGCAGTGCGAACAGGAACATATAACAACCATAAGATAGTTATCCCAATTTGGCTGCAAATGAAGAAATACACTTTAGTACTCTCTGCTAGTCTTAATAATTTGAGGAAATAGCCTAAACAAATGTGCACAGGTTAGTAAAATTAGAAAAAAGGCAGAAATCCTTAGCTGTGTACTTGTTTCTGATCAGTAATTCATTTTATAGAAGCAAGGGGGATCAGAATTATTGCCAGACACCTACCATTTTAAGGCGAGGTCAGTAATGTCGGCCTCCATGTGTCTCTGGTGACTGGTTTCCTTTAAATAAAGGATTGGTGTATTGCTAGCTGAACCATTTCCTTAAAATGAATGAAATCATGCTTCGTTCATAGCCACTGACTGCATTACAAATACTGGTCTACAGTACTCAGTTGAAACTTGGCCCTATTGAATGGAAATGAGCCAAAACTGCCTAAAGGCTGGATTTCTCTTGGATAATGGAAAGGGTTATAAGTGTGAGGGCATGAATCGGTTTGATATTGAGTGTACAGTACTTTAATATTACCCAAAGATATGTTTAACATATTGGGGTGATGTATTTAATTTGAATAAATATAGATGTTAAAGGAGACCTACAGTGGGAAATTTGTCCATTCTCAACTTCCATTGCTGACCTCTCCTGAAAATGATTCTGTGACTGAAGTACTTTTGTTCTGGGTCAGCTAATACTTGAGTCAACTAGCATTTTAACCCAATATACACATTGGGGCATCCATATTTACTAGGAATTCTCAGATACCAGCGAGTACTTTTAGGTATATTAACCTTCCTGGCGGTATTCCCGAGTGTGGCTCGGGGTTAATTTTCTGTACCGTAAGCAGTAACCCCGAGCCACACTCGGGAATACAGTGTAGCGTCTCTTACCTTGTCCCTCGATCCGCACTGTGTCCTCCGGCCGATGCCGGCATCCGTCTTCCGGGTTCCGTCCCTTGGGAGTGTTCGTGTCGCAGGAGGGGGGCGGAAGCGGCAGGATTTTTGAAAGTAAAAAAAAAGAACGAAAAAAGGAAAGAAAAAAAAAATCAGACCGCCAGGGAGGTTAAGCACCAGAGATCGTTGATCCAGGGAATATCCATTTGCCTATGGGATCAGGAAGGAATTTTTTTTTCCACTGTTGGAGTAAATTGTCCCATGCTTTATAGGGGGGTTTTTTGCCTTCCATTAGTCTGTATTGTTTTAGAAAAAGTGTCACATGACCATAAACAAAAAGGTATGAGTAATTGGTATCTGAGAGGACAAGTATCGGTACTTGTAATTGGTCTGAAAAAATGGTGTCGGTGCATCCCTAATCAATAAAACAAAAAGATATAATATATATCTATAATCAAATCATACAGGAGCCCCATAGCCAATGCTCCTTAAAAATAACAGCTGCCTCCTAACCTTAGAATTTGTTTTCTCTAGTCTTGGAGCTGGAAAAGTATCTGTACTTGTACCAACACGGTACTTGGTATCTGTGCATCCCTAATATTTACTCATTATCTATGCAGTCTCTGCTTTCTGATTGGCATTGTTACTTAATGATTGTGCTCTTGCTCACAATGCCTGTCTATCAGTCTGCTGATCCACTGAAATAAATGCATTCTTTTTTTTGTGGTGGTTATCTTGTCTCAACAGATTAGGTCAGGGGTAGGCAACCTTGGCTCTCTAGCTGGGCTGAAATGACAAATCCCATAAGGCATTGCAAGCCACAGGCAGGACTCCCGGAGGCAGAAGCATAATGGGATTTGTAGTTTCAGCACAGTTGGAGAGCCAAGGTTGCCTACCCCTGGTTTAGGCAGAAAGATTGGTTAATTGTAGTGAAATACAGAGCCCCCTCTAGTGGCAAGTTTAATGATCTATATAATAAAATATGTAAGAGAAAGTATTTAAAAATGTGAGTCACATAAAAAAAAGTATTGCACCGCTCCTCCACCGCACACAAGCAGGGGGAAACCAGGCGCTCACCAGCTGGAGCTCGCCCTCACTCCCACATTAGCTGCCGTCAAAACAATGAAACATTTGCCCGCACTCCATGTGTCGCTGGAAAGTTAATTTTATCAAAATCAGACAGTTACACAAAGTCATGCCTCAGGTCCACCCCACTATCGCATTTTACCCAATCCTGGGCTTAATCATAGACTCTACAATTAAGCCCATGATTGGGTGAAACACATTAGTGGTGCAGAACTTTGTGTAATTGTGACTTTAATAAAAAGAAGTTTCCAGCAACACATGGAGTGCGGCTGGATGTTTTATTGTTTTGACGTCACATAAAAATGACTTTAATTTAAACACTGCAATAGCACAATATAGGTGATACCTTTATGTAAATGTATACTTTCCCTTTCATTTCCAGCCACAGTATTTATTGAATCGCCAATAGACTGTGCCGAGATCAGAGGATCAGGCACTTCACAAGGTAGAGATGGTCACTATGTAGTAGACGTCTCTGACACTGTGACGTGTTACATATAGATACCCAATGCCTGTAAGCTTTCATAATTCTATTACTATATTCACCTTATGAAGTAACTCATGTCTTCTCATTGAATGGTGTCATTGTCTGACCTACAATGTTAGGAAGTAGAATTAAGGAGCGATTGTTTTTTTGCTGTTCTTGCCTGACAATGCCGTTTTATTTGTTTAGTCCCCACCTGCATCCTCTTTGGTTCTGCGATATTGTTCAAACCTTTTCAAAATAAGCTCCAGTTGGTAATAAAATGCAGTCCAGATTCTGATATCTGAAAAGGAAATCGGTCCCTTTTTGTTATGTTAACCTTATTTAGCAATGTTCATTCTCAGGCTGCAAAAGTAAGTGGACCTGAGCCATAAGAGAATATGTACAGTTGAAGGCAAATCTGGGATAATATTACTGGTTTTATAAATATATATCTGTGTTTGTATGCGTTAGCTCGAGGGTCAAGGGCAGAAAGCATTTTCTTCTTTAGGATCTGCTATCAAGTTTGGGTAACCCAAGATGGATCTAGATTTGGATCTGTGCCTTTCTTCACTGAATCTCACTGATTTGGCAAATTCCATTTTGCTGGCATAAAAGTAACATTCGTTTTGTTTTTCAGGTGTCTTATGACATGGACGGATTCTGTGAAAGAAACAGGGACGTCCTTTTCACTGATCTCATTGAATTGATGCAAAGTAGTCAATTGTAAGTACTGTCTGTCCAATATATCTCTACTATGCTGTTGTAGTTAAGTGCAAGAAAATGCTAGGATGATAGAAGTTAGGGCAGGTAGACCTTGTACTTGGTTCTTCTAATGATGATGTTTTCAGAGTGGGTATGTCAAAACTCATGCATGGGGACATCAGTGTGTAAAATGTTAAATTAAATGAGGCTCCAGTTGATAAAAACACTTCCTTATGTAAGTTTGCTGCTCAGTGTCTCAGGAAATGTTTTAGGGCAACTTTTTATCCTTTTGTTTGCTCAATTTAAATTGTTTGACTTAAAGGTGATTTCCGGGTAACGTTTTCAGTTACCCTTGCAGTGGGGCTGCCCCCGCACTGCAAGGATTAACTGCTCATTTTTGTCTCCAGGAAGAAAAATAAAATGGTTATACTCCCCCAATCCTCTGCACCGGCTTGCTCTTAGACCACTCCTTCCAGCCTTGCTTTCCTCCGATGCAGCAGTCTAAGGTCCCTGAGTCATCAGGTTCTATACACAGTGTATAGGGCATGAGGACAATGAGGGATATACTATCACTGCAACATAGGAGGCGACAGGCAGGAGGGAACACTGTCACAGTTGGCCGCTCGGAGTATAACTTTTGTTTTCTTACCTAGACCAAAATGAGCAGTTAACCCTTGCAGTACAGGGATATTCTCACTGCAAGGGTTAAAAAAAAATTGCCCGGAGTGTTCTTTAAAGCCAAACTCCAGGCAGCCAGTTAAATACACAGATAAATACATATATGAAGTACAGAAAGACAGTACATTCATAGAAATACATATATGAGAGCTGTTTTATCAGCCAAAAGATTTGTATTTCTGTCCATTCAGTCAGGAGATTTATACAGCACAGACTGCAATTTCACGCTCACTTACATGTGTAATCCTTATACCCACTCTGAGACTGCAGAGTAAAATGGAGAAGAAACACACTGATGAGCTCATCTTTCACTTGTCTCTCTTTCTATCCGCATGCATTGCAACAGGCTCTCTTTGCTGCGTCTCCCTCCTGTTTTCCAAGCTTTAATCTATAGGGACTGCATAACACTAATACCAAGTCAAAATGTACTTGCACTGCTTGCAAAAATTCCATTTAAGGATGCAATGATGATTAAAGAACAACATTAATGTGTGTCTTTATCTGCCTGCAGTTCAGCTTTAAACTAGACTACATCTGTAGCCACAATCAAAACACGCACATTGTGCTTCCCTAATCATCCATCCCATCACCAGCCAAATCAAAGTTCAAGGAAATTAGTTAGCAGCTGTTTGAAAATAACTTGCTGAAGAGAAATTGAAATGCTGCATTGTTGCTCTCTTCTTTTTTTCTGTTCCTGGTCCTTCTCATAGCTTCAGCTATATCCGGCTATTCTTTACAAGGCTACTCACTCTGAGAAGGCTCTATTACATTGTAAATGAGAAATTCTAGAAAGGGAAGGGAGTGTGAGGCAAGTGGGTGGCACCACACCCCCAATTAGTATAAGAAACAAAAAGAAAAAAATGGCTACAAACGAGTCTGGGGCTTTTAAGGTGCCACAAAGTACAATTACCAGTATGCTAATAATAAAATTATTTTATTCATAACAAATGTAAAGCATGATTAAGAAAATGTAGGCCATTGCAAGAATTTACACATAGCAAATATGGAACAAAAAACCCGTATATGTATCTTGGCCATATTCCTCAGGCTTGAGCAGATTGAGTTTTCAATAGGTTCTACGCATTTTGCAAATGCTTCTTCAGGAAACTTTTTATGGAAATCTATGATTCAACAAATCATATATATATATATATATCATACATATCCCTTTTTTATAACAGATTACATTATATTTATTTGGGCAACATTTCCTCTCATTATATAACAATGTATACCTTATCATTCTATGTATGAGATATGAAACCATAAAAAGTATAGAGAGATGGTGCTAAAAAGATAAAGGATAATCAGAAAATTTACCCCCAAATTGCTATGTGATCAGGTATGCAGCCAAAAGCGAGCTCCAGACGAAAGGGGGTGTGAGCAGTTCCACCCGTGTAGTGGCTTTCTGGGCCAGACCAGGGACAGGTTCAGTAGATGCCGCAATCAAACGAGAGAGAGAGAGAGAGATTCTTAATCATGTTTTAAATTTGTTATGAATAAAATAAGTTTTTTATTAGCATACTGGTAATTGTAGTTTTTGTGGCACCTTTAAAGCCCCAGGCTCGTTTGTAGCCATTTTTTTTCTTTTTGTTTCTACTACCTTGTATGCTTACCAGTCTTATTAATAATGTGGAAACTAACATACTGAAAATGCCATGGCTTAGCTTTTTCCAGTATCCAACCCAAAACTTTTGGTCCCAAGGTTTCTTCTGCAGTGTACAAAGCAGTTACTTGCTCTTACTCTATGAACTTAATGCTTAAAATCAGACAAAATGCCCCCCAAAAAAGGATATCAGGAGTTTTCTAGAGGAGAGTAGAAGTATGATCATGTACTAATCAGCCAAAGCTCAAGAATCCCATCCACTATAATGGTCTTTTCTGTACTGCCTGTTTCTGGATGAATCACCTCACTGTTCACCCAGTCTACACAATAAATGAATGAATAAAATAAACTTTTGAAACTGTTGTCCCCCTGAAGATAACATGATGCTGGTGGTGTCTACTGAAAGTACATTTAAATGAACACTCCGGCAATATTGGGGCTTCAGGTTTATGCTTGTCTTTTACCAAAAACACTTCCTTCAATTTTCAAATTATACCTATATGTTTAACTGTCGTCAGAGATCTAAGGCCAGACTGTCGCAGTACTCCATGAACAGAAGCATTCTACATTTCAAAGGTCCAATATAAACATGACATTTTTGCTCCATCCACCCTAAAATGACCAGATCAGACAATTGCTCTCTCCTTAAGAGACCAATTTATTTTATCTCATGTAGCACTGGTCTCCTTCATTTAAAATTCCAGGCAGGACACTATCTGCATGGCGTTTGCATGTTCTATATGTACTTGGATCGGTTTAATCTAAGGTGCTCTAGCTAAGATAGGGACCAGGGATGCACCGATACTTTTCAGATACCAATGCCGATACTTGGCATTTTCATGAAAACTACTCACACGGTTGCAGCTGCTACTGGGCCCTGGAGCTCCAACACTGTCCTGAAATCATTAGTCTGTATTGTTTTAGAAAAATTGTCACATGACAATAAACAAAAAGGTATCAGTACTTATACTCGTAAGTACTTGGGCAAGTATTAGTATTTGTACTTGCAAAAATGGTATCGGTGCATCACTTTATTTATATATAGAAAAACAAAATCATACATTAAAACAGAGATGTACAAATCCCAGGAGCTCCGTGTGCTCCTTACAAATGACAGCTGCCTCCTAACTTTTTAATTTTTCTCTAGTTTAGTCATGGAGCTGGAAAAGTATCTGTACTTGTACTGAGTACGTTACTTGGTATCGGTGCATCCCTAATAGGGACCTTGGATTGTTCCATGAGGGCAGGGACTGATGTGAATATACAGTGTGTAAAGCCCTGCGTAAATTGTCAGCACTATAGTTTATGATAATAATAGTACAAGTGGGATAGCATGTGACTCACCATAATTGTATGTTGATGTTTGTTTGCCAATGAATAAATAATGGAAGAATAGTGGAAGTAGAAGCGGTAATGTATTTTACTGTTATCTGTGATCCCCAACCAGCAACTTATGAGGCCCATATGAGCTGCTAAGCAGGTGCTGAGTTTTGCATCATCTCACCGTATCACATATTTGCCTGTTGTGCATGTCAAATTAACAATTAGCAATTCCAAGACAGCATATATTTTTTGAAGTAAAGCTTGTCTACATACACCTTAGAAATGTTTTACCTGTGCAGCCAGTCTTGTAGATCAAGCACCCCAGCCAGACAGCACGGCCAGGTCCTGGACTTCTCTGCAGACCATATTTCAGCAAAGCAAAATAGCCAGGCCTTGAACACACCCCAGCCTGGGACTGGTCATTGCAGCAGCAGCAACACATTATTGAGGGCATCCCTGTGTTCTCTTGGTTTTCTTCTTTAAATCTGCATTTAATATTAATGGGCGGCATTACACAACGCCTGAGAAGAATTGCAAAGATGTTTCCTCTGAAATGTACAAGTGAGATTGTATGAAATAAGAACCGCCTGCTTTTCACAGTGAGCGTAGCTGGCAGTCTTCACATCTGAGCAGCCTTCATATGACAGGCTTTTTCCGAGTGCATGCTGCAGAAAACCACAATCTAGGGAAGAAATAGTAGTTATGGTCTCTAAATAGCCCAAGAGGTTATTTTTCCCAACAAAAGCTTTTTTTAAAATGACTGGTTCTGACTATGGGGTGCCAGAAATGTAAGGAATACTTAGTGTAAGAGCTTTTCAGAACCTGAGGTTTTCCCACAAGCTAATCTTTGATGACAGTGCGTGGCTGTTATTTATGTCTGTGTATGGTACCATTTTTTTTCATGGTTTGGACTTCCTAGCAGTTAAGCATTTTGATTACAGCTGCATTTGTGGGGGAGGGGTTAAATAAAAATGATTATGCACGATTATAAGATTGTTATGAGGTAATTACAAATGTACCCTGTATACTTCTGCTTCATGAAACTCTACTCAGTTTGTGGCAAGTTTATACAAGAAACGACTGTCATTATTTTAATTGTGCTTGTTTAACTAGTTCCCATACTTAAGAAACATGAAATGGCAATTTGTACAGAATAATTAGCATTTTTCTCTGCATTTCTGGGTTGAAGGATAGCGTTACAGACTAAATACATAATGTATGAGCTATGGAAACCACAGGAAAGAGATACTCTGGTGGAGCAGCTACAATGTGTGAATACAGCTATGGAGCACTGCCTTAATATTAATGGAAGTAACCATTTAGTACGAGGTGAATCCTTATGAGCTCACATGTGTTGACAGCAGCAGATGCTTAGGGGCATGTGTTGTTTAGCTCAAGGTTACTCTGTTTTCTAGTAGGGAGCTAAATAAATCGATAAAAATAATATAAGAATTAATAAGGTGAAATCTTTCATTCTGGTATCATGGCTTAAATCTAGATTATTTAATTTGAAAAATTGTATTTATATACCATTCCCTTTTTCTGGAAATCATTGAATAAGTCACATCAGTTCTTTCCTCCAGCATGAAGTTCAAACAGTTTTGAAACTCAATCTAACAAGAGTTTTCTGTCCCTGATGGGAATTGGGAACGTAGGACCCCACTTCAGCTGGAGTCTTACAATGTTAATGTCTGAGCTACTGTGCCTTGAATGCACTGTTACCTTGAATACTAGGAAGAGCACTTTGGACCCTAAATTGGATCTTTTTGCATTCATTATTTCACTTTATATTTTAGGCCTTTCATTAAGGCTTTGTTTCCAGAAAATCTTCAAGCAGAAAAGAAGGGGCGTCCTACTACTGCAAGCAGTAAGATCAAGGTAAGTTTCAAAAATGTATATACATTCATCTGGTAAATGGATTGGTCACATTTTTGTCAAATCATATTTAATATGTTAATTTTCACAGAAACAAGCAAATGACTTGGTGAATACATTGATGAAATGTACACCTCATTATATCCGGTGCATCAAACCAAATGAGACCAAGAAACCCAGAGACTGGGAGGAAAACAGGTATGTGTGATGTAATAAAATATGGGAGGCTTCTGAAAAGGCTCTTGATGATAGCTGATTAGTGTCATCATTGGGCCTGGAATAGAAATTAATGTTTGTGACTGAGTATTTGTATTCTGATATATCCTATTGGCTACCCAACTTTCATTAACTATTTTAGGTAAAAAAAGGATGTAGCATTAGCATAATAGTTTGAATCTCGTCTCAGATGGTACGCTGCCTGTGGTCACACAGTGCAAATTACATATTTTACTCTTGAAACTCTTAAGTGTGTGTGTGTGTGTGTGTGTGTGTGTGTGTGTGTATTTATTTGCCGCCTATTTGCTGCTTGCTTTGGGTTATACTTTGGGTCTGCTTTAGGGGGCTCTTTCCTGAAGCAAAATACTTAGAGCACATCTATGCATGTATGCAAGTTAGCCATTGTTTTAAATATTGATAGTTCACATCTACATTATGCATTGAGGCTTGCCTTAGGGCCTGTTAATGACAGTAGCAGCACGTGAAAAGCATGATTGTAAATAACGCATATAAAAATGGATGGAAGTGTGCCTGGAAAGGTGTAAATCAAGCCCTAGACTAATGAAAATTCATAGGCAATATACTAGTTCTGGACAGCAAAGCTTAACACATTCACTGGGTCATTGTTTTGGAACCAGAATTAGACAGATCAGGTGTCTGTCTCTAGACAAAGTCCCTTTTAAAGAATCTTTCCTAACTGGAAAGCTCCGTAATAGGACACCGGGAAATCCTTCTGTATATTTTGCTATAACCCTAACCTTTTAAGAATGTCTCACCACTGGCTTCTAAATTTTTTTCTCTCCAGGGTCAAACATCAAGTAGAATATTTAGAGTTGAAGGAAAACATCCGCGTACGCAGAGCAGGATATGCTTACAGGAGGGTGTTTAAGAAATTCCTGCAAAGGTGAGGATGACATTGTCCTGTTAACTTTCCTTATATTCTGCTTGTAGCAAACTCTGCTTTTCACTGAAAAGTTTTTCTTGTGAGATTAAAGATAAGTATAGTTTTACTCCTCAACTGCCACTAGTATTATCCAATACAACAACATTATTAAATAATGAAAGAATGAATAGTTTTGGGGGAGATATTTTATAAAAATGTGTATACTGTATATAAAAGTCTCATTGTTGGGGACAGTTTGCAATTTACAATTTAGCTTTTAAGTGTATAGCAAAAGTATTTTGTGCTTGGTAACCCGCCTCCACTTCTTTCTCTTATTATTGCTGATCTGTTAGTATATGCCATTATTTCTGTTGGTTGCATGTGGGAACGATATCACTTTGGGATTTTACAAGGGTATCTAACTGACACTTGAGACCTCAGAGCAATGCTTGATGAGCTCAACATAATATATATATATGCACTGGCTCTGGAGTCAAGGAAGTCCTTTATTATCATCTTTTGGAAGATTCTCACAGCAGTCAGTCTGTTAGGCTGGAGAGGAGTCCTGGGCACCCTGTCAGTGCAGGGGATTTGGTGGTCGGAAAATCTTGTGTCCGGAAAAACATCCTGATGGTTCAGGCGATTTGCTGTCTCTTCAGTGTTGGATGAACGTGTTGGAGTGGCATCTAATCCGGTTTAATCAGAAAAAGCCACATTGGTGTACATTAACTAGGGAGGAACCAGATGTCTTGCTGCAGCAAGAGAGGTAGAGCAAATCCTGTCCTGAGCTGAACTGCACGTTCCATTGTCAGTCATGTACATTCCAGACGTACACAATTAGCAGACAAATTTCCTCAGCCATCAGTACCTGGACCCGGGAGAGTGTACAGCTGGAGGTGTTCGTGGGCCTGTGTCACAGTTGGGAGGCACCGGATGTGAACCTCCTGACCTCAAGGTTGTAGTTGTAAAACGGACAGGTTTGTATCCGGGTGCAGTGATCCACTGGTGGTTTCGAAGAATCTGCACACCCTGATCTATGCCTTTCCTTTCCTGAAACGTCTTCTCCATAAGATCAAGTCGGAAGGCATTCTGGTGATCCTCATTGCTCCAGAGTCACCCAAATTGATGTTGTACAGCAACCCGGCAAGACATCAATCGAATCTGAATCTGGTTATCTCTGCACTACATAAAGTGTAATTTAAACCCATTAGAGACATTCTTCTCCGCACTCTCACCCAGTAGGGTGGCCAGGCCTGGAACTGCATTATGCTGAAAGGTGAAGGTATTGCCCACATTCTTAATTTTACATGAAAACCCCATTTAAAGCCTGATTACAATAAATGAATTACATACTAAAATCAGGTGCTGTTGGCAAAAAATATTTTAACTCTAAATGGTCCCAACAGCATAAACACTGGAAGGCAATTAGAACTCTCTCCCAATACACAATAAATCAGGTTTAGTGTGGTGCAACCCTGTAAGTCACTGACATCATTCATGTCCTCAAAGCCATAGTAAAATGAATAGGTTGTGTAGAGGAACTGGCAGAACTGGAAATGTGTGTTTCTCTATTTGCTGTTAATTCTTTTGTCAGCTTCCTGGCAGCACTGAGTAATCGGAGGTTTAGGTAGACATTTCTGTGCAGTATTTGTTATTTGCATGCAAAGATCACAGTGAATGACCATTGTGTTTTTTTTTCATGTACACCTTGGAAGTATAAACCCTTTTTGTGTACACTGTCCTGGATAAGTTCTAAATGTCTAATGCATATAAGGATCTTGCAGTGTTACTTCTCAGTAAAACATGCCTCTAGTTGAAGCCCTGTATTATTCCTTTTGTGACCACAGATTATTGAAGCCGAGACGTCAGATCTAAATTTCGCAAAGTCAGACATATTTATTTGGTACATGACACTGCTCTTGTATTTGCAGGCTGAATGCTTAGTTGTTGACTGGAACCTCTAGCCTGCATGCGATCATTATGTCATTACTGCTATAGCGACCATATTACCGCTAACCATTCTGGTTCCCATTTCAATGGGTGCCGCACTTTAGACTTACGTGAGAAAGTAGCTCATGTAGCAGATTCTACTACAGGCGTACTGCATTTTGTACCTGCATGTTTGTGCGTGTTTTAATACGTGTCCAAACATGGGAAAGTCTAGTGTGTATCCCACCACACTTCTGACCGCTATACCCCTTAATATTGGGTGCTGAAGTGATGACAGATGGTGCCGCCAGCAGTTCTTTCCTTTCCTGAAACGTCTTCTCCATAAGATCAAGTCGGAAGGCATTCTGGTGATCCTCATTGCTCCAGAGTCACCCAAATTGATGTTGTACAGCAACCCGGCAAGACATCAATCGAATCTGAATCTGGTTATCTCTGCACTACATAAAGTGTAATTTAAACCCATTAGAGACATTCTTCTCCGCACTCTCACCCAGTAGGGTGGCCAGGCCTGGAACTGCATTATGCTGAAAGGTGAAGGTATTGCCCACATTCTTAATTTTACATGAAAACCCCATTTAAAGCCTGATTACAATAAATGAATTACATACTAAAATCAGGTGCTGTTGGCAAAAAATATTTTAACTCTAAATGGTCCCAACAGCATAAACACTGGAAGGCAATTAGAACTCTCTCCCAATACACAATAAATCAGGTTTAGTGTGGTGCAACCCTGTAAGTCACTGACATCATTCATGTCCTCAAAGCCATAGTAAAATGAATAGGTTGTGTAGAGGAACTGGCAGAACTGGAAATGTGTGTTTCTCTATTTGCTGTTAATTCTTTTGTCAGCTTCCTGGCAGCACTGAGTAATCGGAGGTTTAGGTAGACATTTCTGTGCAGTATTTGTTATTTGCATGCAAAGATCACAGTGAATGACCATTGTGTTTTTTTTTCATGTACACCTTGGAAGTATAAACCCTTTTTGTGTACACTGTCCTGGATAAGTTCTAAATGTCTAATGCATATAAGGATCTTGCAGTGTTACTTCTCAGTAAAACATGCCTCTAGTTGAAGCCCTGTATTATTCCTTTTGTGACCACAGATTATTGAAGCCGAGACGTCAGATCTAAATTTCGCAAAGTCAGACATATTTATTTGGTACATGACACTGCTCTTGTATTTGCAGGCTGAATGCTTAGTTGTTGACTGGAACCTCTAGCCTGCATGCGATCATTATGTCATTACTGCTATAGCGACCATATTACCGCTAACCATTCTGGTTCCCATTTCAATGGGTGCCGCACTTTAGACTTACGTGAGAAAGTAGCTCATGTAGCAGATTCTACTACAGGCGTACTGCATTTTGTACCTGCATGTTTGTGCGTGTTTTAATACGTGTCCAAACATGGGAAAGTCTAGTGTGTATCCCACCACACTTCTGACCGCTATACCCCTTAATATTGGGTGCTGAAGTGATGACAGATGGTGCCGCCAGCAGTGTTTTGTTTTATTAAGCAAAAAAAAAAAAAAAAAAGGGAACTGAAAATGCTGGCTGAATGGTTGTCACAGAGAAAATATTGAAGCCAATTAATCAAAGTTTCTGTTATATAGATAAGAATTCCAGCAATTCCCTGACTTCTCTGGCTTTTAAGAAGGAAAGCTGCAGCAGCCTCTATATTTATTTCAGTATTGGGTTCAAAGAACATGTTGATTGTGCTATAAAAAGTGACCTTTGAAATTATAACGCCTTTGTATGTGGAAAAATATCAGCCATGTTTGATAAGCGAAGTTTACAAGCCCGGTAGATAATAAAATTGAGTTTTATGACTGTTAATGCAGTGTATGTGTCTGATATATTAGGATATGACTTCAGCTCACACAGCAGGCTGCAAAACTAAGCTACATGTTTATGATTTGCTGTAGGCTTGTATTAGTACTCACTATTACCCTAGTAGCCCTGCCCTCCAATTCTAACGAAAATATTACGATAGGCCTGTATATAAAAGTGAACTGTGATATTGCTTGTCTCTGCACAGTTCAGAACATATCTAATAATGGCATATCTATTTTAAAGCTTT